GTGCCCTCGTGGCCCGGGATCGGGACCGGGATCGGGATCACCGCGGGTCCCCTCCCGGCCCGGGGGTCCCGCAGCCAGCGCTGCCGTGGTACCGGGGTGGGACGGGCAGTGCGGGTGCCCCACCCCGGTGCCGCCGTTCCGGTGCCCTGCCCGGTGCCCCCTCCCGTTCCGGGCCGTGCCCCGGGACGCGGGGAGCCGGGCTCGGGGTGCCCGCAGCTCGCCCCGCTGGCCCCGGAGGCTCCGCGGGCCCGGCTGCCCCGCTCCGGAGCCGGGCCGCCGGGACAGCCCCCGCTCCCGGTTTCCCGTGCTGCGGAGCGGCACCGACTGATGGCTCCGGCGGGAGATGTGGCCGCTGCCAGATGTTGCCGCTGCTGGCACTTGGTGGCCCGGCAGGGCTGAGTCACAGGGTCTGGCTACGGGCCACTGTTTGTAGAAGTCGTCCCTTGGACTTTCTATGAGACATTCCTTTCAAGAAAGTGTCATTAGTTGTTTTGGCACCCTCCAGTCTTTGCTGTTGCATCTTACTCAGTTCTTTACAATTCTCAGTATTTATTCACGTAATAGTGACATTTAGATCCTTTTTACCACACCTTGTTTCCAAGCCTAATCTAAACACAGCAGCTGGGGCAGGCAAAGTCTAAAGGATTTGACATAGGTTTTGTAAATAATGTTCTCTTATTCCTGAACAATTTTCACAGAGGCTAAATTCTACTGAAATTATTTTTGCAGCATTCAAATGCTGGGGGGAGCATTCATCCCCGTGCTCACTGATCCTCTGGTGAGTACTGTGCCCGTGGTGATCCCCTGGAGCTCAGACTGAACCCCTCTGCTGCTGCCATGTAAGTCTTTGCAAATAAAACCTCTCCTGAGGAGCACAAACGTGTTCCAGCAGCCCTGCTGTGGGGTGGGCAGTGGCTGGAAGAACGGTGTGAAATGTCACACGTGTGGGACAGAGCCGTGTGCTCTCTGTGTGAGACCCGCCCGTGTGCCCGTGTGTGAGACAGAGCCCTGTGTGAGACCCACCCGTGTGTGCTGTGTGGCTGCAGCCATGTCCCGTTCCTGGCAGCTGAGTGTCCCCAGGAAGGATTCTGGTCTGTCAGGCCCCCACCTGATTTCTCCCAGGTGTGCATTTTTCTCAAGCACCTACAAAACCTGTGGGCTGCAGGCTGCTTGTGAGCTGCTGCAGGTGCTGTGCAGGTCAGCCTGGGATGCAGCAGGTATTTTATCTCCTGTGGCAGCTCCAGGGCTGGGCTTTGGTCCCCTGTCTGTTCTGGGCTCTGCCTGCTGCCCATGTAAGCCTTTCCTTGTGCCAGGCTCGTGGGCCATGGTTTCCCAGAGCCGTTCCAGAAACACTGAGCAAGACCTGAGCACTCACACCCATTGTTCTGTGAGTTGTCTGTCCACGGCTGCTTAGTCCATCCTTTGGAAACTGAGTAACTGAGCTCCCTTGTGAGCTTTCAAGCCATTTCTCCACTTGTTCTCATTACTGTTGCTGTCTATCTGATTTTTCCCCTCCTGGCAGTACTCTGGGAGCAGAGCTACCACATCACCCAGCTTGGTGTGAACCAGCCTAAATCAGTCACCTGCTGGCAAGGGCTGGCAAAGTTCTCTTCAAAACCAGCTGTAAGAATTGCTGAAAGGCCACAGTGTAAATGCAGAAATATTTTATTTTCTTGTTCTGTGATCAGGTTTTGGGTATGATGTGGGCTTGCTCACCTTCATCACTTCTGTAGCAAACCCACAGCTAAATTATTCACGTTACACTTTCTCCCCAGCATGCCAGTAGCTGGTTTTATAAAGACCAGACTGTAATGCTGGTTTAAATCCTGTCTATTTAATCCCAATTCACTGCTGGATTGTGGTGTGTGTTGTTTTTTTCAGTGACAGAATAAAATTACTGTCCATTTTTAATTCTACACTATGCTATTAATTGCTGCTGTTTCTGAAGAAGGAAATGTATTGCGTTCAAAGTAACGAATGATCTTTATGCTGTTAGTTTAAATATGGAATATGATTTCTCAAGTGCCAGTGCCCTACTACATGTATTAATTGAATCTCTCATTACCAGCCAGCTCTAGGTAATTAGTCAGTCTGCAGTGCAAGGGGTCTGTGGGAAGTAACTGAAAGAATCAAGTCTGGTTTTCTTAGAAATGAATTCTGGTGCATGGCTACAGACCACTGAGGGATCTGTGGGTTGGAAAGTTTGAAAATCCCTGGCTGAGGGTTCAGACACAGAAGAAGTTAAATAAATCACAAGATGATGCAGCACATAATATTTGAATTATGAAGCGTGCATTGCATTGGGTGGTTGTGCTTCATGAATGGTAGTGGTTTAGCTTCTCAGGAAAAAAATTAATGTTTTCCTGAAACAAGCACTGGTTGGGCAACATGAAGGCATGACAATGCAGCAGGGTCTAGGCAAAATATAATCATCAGAGTTGGCTGTATTAATTTGATTTTCAAAATGATCAAGCATATTTTAAAAACAATTTTAGGATGATTTGATGCTATCTTAAAAATGCCAAAATAAAATTCAGCTGAAAAGCATAAATTTGGTTACTAAGCAGCTCAGCATACAATATTTACATGTATAACCATCTTTGACTGTGCTGAGTAACCCTGCTTGTTCAGTAAAACTGCTCATACAGGCTGAGGTTATTTCTGTGCATAGTTAGAGCGAGTCGTGAGCTGCTGCTGTTAGAGATATTTTGTGCAAGTAAAGCAGTGGCCTTGGGTGGGCTTTTTAATGTATTGTACTTTGCAGGCAGAGATTAAACAAGGGTAGTTTAGATCAGTAACAGATACAATATCTAAAGTTTGAGTACCCTGAAAGTTTGTCAGTGCCTGATGACAAGAAGATTTAATAGTACAAAAAGTGAAAACGACCTTCTAAGCAGCTCTTTTTAAAGATGCACAGTGGCAGCCAGGGATGTGTCACCTCCTGAGACCTGAGCGAGTCCCACTGAGCTTAGTTTGGAAGAGATTTTACAGAAAACCTGTGCTCCACCTGAGGAACAGAGAATGCTGTGAGGAGTGGGCTGAGTTTTGAGGTATTTGTGTTTCTGCACAGTGTTTGCTGCTGGATCTCGGAAGGCCCGAGCTCTGGAAGTGAAACTGAGCTGCAGTCTGGGAAATGCAGGGCCCTGGGTAAAAAGGACCCTGAGAACGTGCTCAGAGTAAGGGGTGAGGATGTGCCTGTCTGAAATCTGAAGCTGCAGCTCTTGGGCAGAAAGAGCTGCTTGCCTTCAGTCAGTTTCTCTGCCCCTGTTAGTGACCACACGTTGAAATAAGGTGTATTAATACGTGGGAAGTTCTTGGGACTGTGAAAGAGACTTCTGAGACCATAGTGCTCTGCCAGGTACTAGCTAGGCAGGGTGGTAATTGAATTTTAAAGCTACAAATCACACTAAATTATGTATTTTAATTTCTCAGCACTGCTGCTGAGAAAATCCCAAGGGAAGTCACGGGCTAAGGATACTGCACATCATTTCATTCCTAAGATGGCAATGTTCCCTGGATATAACAGATATACCTCACCACTCACTTAAGATTAAATGACTTAGCTGGCTCACAACCCAATATAAAACAGTTAAACTGAGAAGATTCAAAATCATTTGGGGAAGAGTTGCTGTTCTGTCACTCCCATGCTGTCTGTATGTAACATTAATATTAATAGTAAACCTAATGGTAAAGGGAGAATAATTACCAAGGGAAGCTAAGATGAAATAATCATTCAGAGTTCAAAGAGCAGAATTGCACCAAATGTTTTCTGGCATTGAACAAATGGAGAAATTGTTCAATGTTTATTCATTTTGAATGTATGAAATTAAGCAAGATTTTGGGGTCTGAATTGGTTTTTAGTGCAGTGGTGTACAAAGAAGTCTTTATTTTGCATTTGGCAGCAGGGTGATTTAGGTTGCTTTGGAGGGGTTGAGGAAGGAGAAGACGACAAAAATAACCTGGCATCCAACAGCATTTAAATACAATATTTAACTTATCTGCACCTTGAGTAATTCTCGATAATTCCATATGTGAATGCATATCTGCAATAAGACTGCCTAATGTGTGTTTATCTTAATCCAGTGGCATTAACAATTCTCGTTCCAGAATCAGGGTGTGCTCACAGGGAGTAAAAGGAGACAGCCAGGGTGATTTCTTGGGCAGGTTTCATACAGGTGAGGCTGTTCTGGGGCAGCCCCAGAGGCCCTGGTGTCACGGGCTGCAGGTGACTCAGCTCCTGGCCTGGCTTGGGGAAGTGCAGCTCCACGGGGACTTTCCTCTGCCAAAAGATCCTCAAATGCAAAATACCAAACTTGTGTTTTTTTCAAGAAATAA